CAAGGCAATACATTCAATTAATATTTGACAAAGGTGGCAAGAGCATACAGTGGAGTAAAGACAGCCTCTTTAATAAATGGTGTTGGGAAAATTGGACAGCTACATGCAAAAAAATGAAACTAGACCATCAACTTACACCATACACAAAAATAAACTCAAAATGGATAAAAGACTTAAATGTGACCCGTGAATCCATAAAAATTCTAGAAGAAAATGTAGGCAACAAAATTTCGGACATCATATGGAGCAGAATTTTCACTGATACATCACCTAAGGCAACAGAAATAAAAGAGAAAATGAACACATGGGACTACATTAAACTAAAAAGCAAAAGAAATCATCAAAATGGAAAGGCTACCCACTGTATGGGAGAACATCATTGCCAATGATGTATCAGATAAGGGGTTAATTTCCAACATATAGAGAGTGCTCATACAACTCCACAAAAGGAAGACAAAGAACCCAATTAAAAAATGGGCAGAGGAGCTGAATAGACACCTCTCCAAACAGGACATACAAATGGCCAAAAGACATATGAAGAAATGCTCAACATCACTGATCATCAGAGAGATGCAAATTAAAACAACAATGAGGTATCACCTCACACCTGTCAGAATGGCCGCCATCAACAAATCATCAAACAACAAGTGTTGGCGAGGGTGTGGAGAAAAGAGGATTCTAATACACTGCTGGTGGGAATGCAGACTGGTGCAGCCGCTATGGAAAACAATATGGTGCTACCTCAAAAAATTAAAAATTGAACTTTCATTTGACCCAGTGATCCCACTGCTGGGAATATACCCTAAGAAGCCTGAAACACCAATCAGGAAGAATATATGTACCTCCATGTTCATAGCAGCACTATTTACAATAGCTAAGATCTGGAAACAGCCCAAGTGTCCACCAGTAGACGAATGGATCAAAAAGCTGTGGTACATATACACAATGGAATACTATGCAGCGGTAAGAAAGAAAGATCTCTTATCCTTTGAGACGACCTGGAGGGACCTGGAAAGTATTATCCTAAGTGAAAGAAGCCAAGCAGAAAAAGACAAATACCACATGATCTCACTTATATACGGAATATAATGAACATAACAGTCTGAGGAATTCAGTAGACCCAGAAACATGGAAGTAGGTCACAGACTGACATCCCTCAGAAGAGGGGGTGTGGGGGTGGGGGGGTGGGAAGAGATAAACCACAGAACTTATATGCATGTATGCATGACCAATGGACATGGACAACTAAGCCGGGGACGGGGCGGAGGTGGGGTGGGGTGGGGGGTGCCAATGGGGTAAAAAGGTAAAATATCTGTAACAAAAAAATAAATAAAAAATTCATTTAAAAGGAAAAAAAATCCACATTCCACCTCTGTATATGGTAATCAATCCTGACTGCATATTAGCATTATCAGGGGAACTTTTAGAAGCACTAAGCCTGGGCCCCACCCAAGTCCAATTAAATCAGAATATTGGGGATATGACACAGGCATCAGTATTTTTTTAAGTTCCCTGGTGAATCTAATAGGCAGTCAGCCTTAAGAATCATGCCTCTTCTAACCATCTTCATACTATCTTCTTCCCTTTCATGACTGGTTCCTTTTAGCTTCTGAGAGTAACCTTTCCTTGATCACCTTATCGAAAGTAATGTGTCCTGTCTTCACTTATTCTCTGCCGTGTTACTCTTGTTGAACACTTCTTAGCACTATCATTATCTGCAATCATCTTATTTATTCATTCTTTTTTTTGGTTCTCACCAAGGATATTTTTCTATTGATTTCCAGATAGAATGAAAGGGGGGAGGGGGGGGAGAGAGAGAGAGAGAAAGAGAAAGAAAGAAAGAGAAACATCAATAACATCGATGTAGGAGAGATACATTAATTGGTTGCCTCCCACAGGACCCCAAACAGGGCCGGAGACAAACTGCAACCAAGGTACGTGCCCTTAGCGGGAACTGAACCCAGGAATCTCTGTTCCGCAGGCCGATGTTCTTAATTGCTGAGCCAAACCGGCCAGGGCTATGCATTCTTTTTTTAAACATTAGGGTGTAATATTCATGGTCACTCTTGCTCTTTACTACACCTTTGTGCCTAAATTGGTGATTAATAAGTATTTGTTGAATGGCTGCGTATAGAGGGGAGATGAGCCAAGTGAGGGACCTGCCATACGGGAGTGAGGAAGTGAGAGATTCATTTGGACAGGAGGTGAAATGGAGCAGATGATGGAGTCTTGATGAATGGAGATGATCTGAGAAACCAGGTAGAGTAAGCAGCTTTGACAGTGGAATTAGGAACTCTCCGATAGTTCAAATCAGAGGGGACAGATTTTTTTTCCTGGATTGGAGCAGTCCCAAGAAAATGAAAATGACAGGTTTCCCAAATGGAAGAGCAACCTGTAGCATAGAGTCACTTTTGATGTTTACCATTTTTGCTATAACTTACACTTTGAGACTCTTATTTCACCTAAATGTTGGTAAGAGTAGCCCTCTGGACTCAACTGTCTCCCACACCATCCCCTTCATTTTAATAACATACTAACTCAGGAGAGCATCTGAGATTCCTACCAGTTCACACCACTCATTTGGTTGTAGCTGCTTTTTGATATATACCTTCGATACCTCTCTGCATCGTGACACATTCAGAAGCCTAATTGTTTACCATATTGAACTATGATCATCTCGCTTTAAATATTGGGATTAATTGAAAAATTGTGTTCTTGCTTATCACAGATTTGTAGTGAGGATATTAACAATTTCTTGACAAAACTTCAATTCTGTTGTGTGCACATCATTAGAAGACAGGGCTCTTTGGAAAAGACTACTTCCAGGGGGAGAAGAGGAAGACCAGCTATGAAATGGGTTGACTCCACAGAAGACATAGGCATGAGTCTACAGAAGCTGAACAGGGCTGTGGAGAGTGGGTCATTCTAGACATTACTCATTCATAGATCACCATGAGTTGAAGCCAACTCAACAGCACATGACAATTGAATTACTACCATGTTCCTTGCAGTTATTAGCAATTGAATTTATGCAGTCTTGATAGTACATGATTAAAACTCTAGATATAGATATGCTCTACCACTGCCTAATGCCAAGCAAAATGTTCACTTTTACAAATTCAGCGTGGCAATTTTGTGCCTTTTGATAGGAGTTTTACACGTACCACAATTCCAGAGGAGACTTAAGAGGTAAAAAAGGGTTTCAGAAATGACCGGTTTATGAAGCATAATTCTGTGATGAATAGCTGCACAAAAATACTGTTTACAAGAGTACAGATTAATTCCTCTCTGAAAGTGAAGCAAAGTCTATATTGTAACAGTTTTATAGGACATCGAGAGATGAAACTGGTTGTAAGAGACTAAATTATTGTTTCCTAGCTTGCCTCCCCATCCCAGGGTGAAGTTGAAGTCATTCACTCAGGCAGCCCGCATTTGCTAGGAGACCCAAGCAAGTGTGTGCCAATGCTAAAGACTCTTGAGACCTGGGGGAGGTTTTCAGCCTGGTGTTTCCTCTGGATCTCTTACACACTTTGGCATTCTAAATCGGGAGCGGTATTTCCTATTCCAGTATCTTTCAACTATGGGCCTTGATGCAAACCTATAGTGATTCCATAGGATAAGACCCCATTTCTCCCTGTAAAAAAAACAATAGTGAAATTTATTAAATCTTTGAATACTGACAATTTAAAATTTTTGAGAAGGTAAATTTAACTTTCTACTTGTAGCATGTCCAAAATTGTATGTCTATTTTCTGGGTAATTTTACATAGAACAAATTATAAGAAAGGTCTAGAACCCTATTAGCAATTGCCTAACATTTTAATTATAGCTTGTATCTATTCACTGTGTGTTAATGGCTGCTTTACACCATATGTGCCTCTTACAACAGGATGCCTGATAGGCATGGGGAATGAGGAAAATTATTACAGTGAATTACCTATTGTAGGTGTTCAATAAATATTTAATATAAAATATGTGTTTACAGCCCTGGCTGGTGTGTGCAATGGTTAGAGCATTGGCTGTGCACCAAAGGGTCACAGGTTCAATTTCTGGTGAAGGGTATGTACCTGGGTTCAGGTTTGATTCCGACCCTGGTTGGAGGCAACCAATAGATGTGTCTCTTTCACGTAGATGTTTCTCTCTTTCTTTCCCTCCCTCCCTTCTACTCACTCTAAAAATCAATGGAAAAAATATCTTCTGGTGAGGATTAACAACAACAAAATATATGTTTATGGACAGGTTAAATTGTGTACTCTCTCTACCAGATAGAGGATGGGAAAACATCCGTTGATATATGTATATTTAGTGGAATTTTGAAAATAAGTTAAAGCCTTTCCTTAAAGGCTCATGAAGGAAACACATAACATCTTTTTACTGTGGAGGGTGCTTATAGCATTGCCAAGAATTATTGGAAATTTTATTTTATTATTTCCAATTTTTAGGTGCAAATATTTGTATGTATAAGATTTGCTACTCCAATTTAAAATTGTTCCAGAATAGTGTTTTTTATGCATGGAACTTAGAAGAAAGGAGGGGGGGAGGGGAAGAGAAGAGAGAGAGAGATGATATAAACTCTTTTAAAATATCTATCTTAACAGTACAAGGTGACTTGTAGAAAGTATATATATGTGGGTGAAAGTCCAGATTCATTCTTGCAAAAACACTTACTCACTGACTGTAAGGTATTAACTAATAGGTGTTAAGAGGTTGGGTTGCCTTATTTTTTTTGGGGGGGGGTCTGTCCATTCTCCAAAGGAGCAGAGATGAAACATAGCTCTTAATGAATTTTAAGTCCTTTAGTTATTAAGAGAATAAAGCTCTAAGATCAATCCACATTTTTATTATATAGTAAACCAAAATATGCATATTCTAATGTACTGTCTGCTGATTGTCTCAGATTCCATCCTAGTATTCTAACAGAATATGAGCATGTATATTGCTAATATCTTTATATTAGCCCAGATAAAATAAAAGATTGTGTGTTCTCTTATACCTTGACAGGTTGGTACAGAGGATATACTCTCCAAAATAAATCTAAAAAGGTATGGCCTATCTTTCAATTTTGAGTAAATCTGTCTGCTAGTTTTGTGTTGTGCTATCTGATCCCATATCTGCTTTCTGCTATCTCTAGACCTAGTTTGCTTTCTCTTTGATGGCTGTTCTTTAGATGTGAAAGCAAACCCTCTGACCTCAATGCTTCAGTAAAATAGTGCAAATACTATCAACCATTTTTCCCACCAGCCGACTCAGGATAAAGGCCTGCAGGTGATTCGCAGACCGTGAGGGCCTCTGCAGGCTTCTTGCTCCAGGTCCCTCGAGCTAAGCAGTATGGTGACATGGTGACACTGTTATGGTTGGCTCTGTCTTTCCCAGAGGGACCCATGCTTCTTTTATCCTCCTGTTTCCATGCGGAAATCCCAGAACTAAAGGGTCTCCCCATTTCCACCTGATTTGCTCCTTCATTGTGAAGTGGACCCACCAGAGCAGTAGTTTTCAAACTGTGAAACTCACAACACCAATAACACATCATAAACTCAATATAGTGGGTCATAACCAGCTTTCCAAAACACAGACTGGAAAATAGAAAAGAAAATGGAATGCCATGGTAAGTATTAGTTCATGAAACTTGTTTTGGTTCATATTTTTACATACTTTATAAAGTATTTTATGTATAGTAAATACTGGGTTGCTGTAAAACTATCTCATCATGGGCAAAGAGTGTGAAAAATACTGACCCTTTTCCCAGTGCCAAGCTACTAATCGTCAAGCTAAAGAAAATCTGATTGTGTTGACCCCCCAGTGTGTTCAGGTCAAGTCAGCTCTTTCCGCTTGCAGCACAGCAGGTCAGCACTTTCTTCTAAAGAGCCTTGTTGGTAGAGCTGCATTATTTCACACTCAGTTCACATGTAAAACAGAATTAGGAAAGGGATCAGGGCATCATTAGAATTTATCAGGAGGTGAATAAAAAAAAAAAAAAAGCAAAACAAAACCCATAGCTCTTATCTTGAGATAAAAGTAATCCTTGCTTACAACTCTCAGAGGAGCTCAGGGCCCAGAAAAACACCTTTCCTCAAGCTTCGGGCCACCAAAAACCAGGACTGACCTGGTCAAGCTTTCCACCTTGCTGACTCCTCAGTCACTTTCAGTATTTGTACTTGCCTGTGTACACGCACACACTTTGTTAACTTTGACAATTTAATAATCGACCAAAATAAAGGAGTGTTTGCTTGTAATATGAATATCAACTCCCACAATTTTGTTCCTTTGATTCCTCCCCAATCCGGATGCTGAAATTTTCTACCCACAGACTCTTGCTTGTACCACGTCTTCATTTCCAGCTTAATTATTTTCATTTAATGTCTTGCTAACTTTAATTTCTCCAGGCCTTCAAATAGGAACCTAAGATGGCATGGCCTAAAGCAGAGACCTTTCTTTCAGGATGCTGGTTACACAGAGGACCTGGTGTTTACAACCACTTCTGCTTCTTGGTTTGGGTTCAACCCCATCCGTGTTCATTTTACTCACAATTATGGAAGTGGTAGTTATTTCAAAGCACATTAGAGTTATTTTGAAGTTTCAATTTATTAAAGAGCAAGTGACTTATGTCACATAAATCCCTATCCTTTAAAAAGTTAATTTTTAGAAATGAACAATACACATACAAAAAAACTACTCTGAATTAAAATCATATGAATTTAAAGAACAAATGAAATTCTTGATTTTTAACTAGTGACTGGGAATCATTTTGAAACAAGGTCCCAGACCACAGCTTTGCCTTTCACACCATCTGCAGATGTAAGGACCCCATGCAGAGGCCCTCTGTTAGCATACCCCCTGTATTCCCAGGCGCCCTGGGATTCCCAGTACAGCGGATGCCATCTAGCTCGTGCCTTGGGTGCCTGCTTGGAGAGTGGGCGGATGGGGCGCCAACTGGGATCCGAAGGACGTGTTCTGATTATGGTTTTAATTTTTTTGTACTTTTTAAAAACTCTGCTTAAATCTTAAACCTCACCCTGTGGAAGAATTATTTTAGTAAGAACTTCTCTTAGTTTTTGATAATTAACACTTTGTAATTCAACAAAATGGTGGCATACACAAGGGTTGTGCATCTACTTGCTGGTTTTTAAGTTGAAATAGCTTTTTTGTTGAGAGATTCAGGAAAAATAGAGGGAATTTTAAGTCAGTTGTCATGAATTATGCTCAACTTTTGACACCCCTTCATTAACACATCTGTTTGAAAGGCTCTCTTAAAGTTGTTTTCTTCTTTTGCCAATACTTAGGGGAGGAGCTATTTGAAAGGCCTATTATTTTAATGGAAATTTTTGGTGTCATTTATAAGCAGCCATGGCCATTTAGAGTGGTGATAAAACAAGCAGTGGTTTTACAAATTGAAGAAGCCAAGAGCTTTTCAGAAACTGATATTGATCCTGGCAGGATTGTGCAGGTGTGGATAAGGGCAATATCTAGAAAATCATCATTTTATTTTATTTTTTTACTCAAGTGAGTAGATTACATTGAGAAAGGAAAAGCAACACGGAGAGATAGGCTGTAAGTCAGAACTACACTGCCCGGTTATTCTGGCTCTCTGTGTGTCATGATGGCACAGGACAAGTTCTACAAGCCTCTGGTTTTACCAGAGCAGTTCATATCTGGTTGGATTCTGCTGTCATGGGAGGATGATGCCTACAAATAACAGAGTGGATACGACAAAGTAAGTATTCTCTGAATATGGAAATCATCGTATCTATAGATCCAGTATAAATAACTTATCAGCTTAGATGTCACAAAATCAGGCACCAGTGTTTATATTACAAGTGCTTCTTTCTTGGGTTTCAGTTATTTAGAGGAGACCCATTATCAGCTTATGAATACATGAAAATTTTAAATGGTCCTTTACCTTCTTTTCTTTTTTTATTCCTCACCTTTGGATATTTTTCTGTTTATCATTAGATAGAGTGGGAGGGAGGGAGAAAGAGAGAGACAGAGAGAAACATCGATGTGATAGAGACACATCGACTGGTTGCCTCCCGCATGACCCGACCAAGGCTGGGGACAAACAGCAGCCGAGTACGATGCTCTTGACCAGAATAGAACTCGAGACTCACTGGTCTGCGGGCCAATGCTCTAACCACTGAGAAAACTGGCCAGGGTGGTCTTTTACCTTCTTGATTTAAAAAATTTTCTGAAAGGGTAGTCCTTGGGACTAGCAGTGTTACTTCTTATTTTACCCTCAAATATGGCTCTTTATAACTACCACTTCAAGTGGTTCCTCCTCATCTAATAGTCTACTTTTTTTCATGAGCTCTGGACATATTTTTATTATAAAATATACATAACATGAAGTTACTCTTTTAATCATTTTAAAATGTACAGTTCAGGGGTATTAAAAACAATGTACAACCATCTCCATCATCCATCTCCAGAACTTCCATCTTCCAAAATTAAAGCTATACCCATTAAAGACTAACTTCCCCTCTTCCTCCCCTCAGCCCCTGGCTAACCCCCATTCTACTTTCTGTCTGTACGAATTAGACTTCTCTAGATATCTCATATAAGTAGAATCATACAGTGTCTCTTCTTTTGTGTCTGACCTGAGTTAGCATCATGTCTTCAGGCTGAGTTCTGAACACCAAGCCTGGTTCTCCACAAAGATGGTAGTTAATACAACATTTAATTTAGCGTCTCAGAAGAAATACCCAAAGTTCCTTAGGCCTCCTGAGGACATATATGAAGCTTCAGAACCCCAGAAATCAGGCTCAAAAGGCATTATACACACATTGTATTCTTGTTTGTCTTTAACTGACCATTTTTTCCAAAATCACTCTGAATTCCATTCCTATAATGAAAGAGGTCATGTTGCCTTGCCTATGTATATGTCCTGTGTCTTACTAATAGCAGGACTGGGGCAGTGATTTCTTACTCGGGCACCCTGCTCCCACCACAAAGCAAGCAAGGGAAGGTATGTGGTTGTTTTTGCCTGGTGGGAAAGAATGGCCTTTTGCTTCTGACTCAGCAGTGATAGGATCTACCCTATTATCATCAATGCTGGGAGATGCTCAATCTCAAATTTTCTTGCCGTTTCCTGTTTTATTGGCAAAGGGTTAAAAAGAAGAAAGAAGAATATTGTATAGATCAATATAGCATACAAAACTAGACACACATCTGATTCTGGTTGAAGTTCACTTGTTTTCTGTCTGTGAATTAATTGAGGATCTCTGGATATACAGGAAGGAATCTTTTTTTTTAAATCTTCATCCAAGAACAGGTGTTTTTTTTTTGCATTTGTCTTGAGATAGAGCAGGCGGGAGAGAGGGAGGAAGAGAGAGAGAGACATCAACGTGAGAGAGATACATCGAGTGGTTGCCACCCACACGACCCCATCCAGGGCTGGAGACAAACCACAACTGAGGTACGTGTCCTTAGCGGGAACCGAACCCAGGCCTCTCTGGTCTGCACGCCGACACTTCAACCGCTGAGCCAAACAGTTTAGGGCCACAGGAATCTTTGACCTAGTCCCCCAGGCAGCAGGATGTCTCTCTCCCACCTCTGTGGTGAGCCACCCCTGACATGAAATGTCCCCAAGCTCCCACTTACCTTTATAGGCACAGAGCTAGGAGCAGTTGAGCCAATGGTGCCTGTTAAGCAGGTTCTCTTACCTCTCCTGGCCCGGCATGCACAGTACTATGAAAGAGAACCCCAGTGCCACTTCCACATGGCAGATTCTCTGTTTATGGGTGAGTGCATCACACAGTTAAACAGCAGAAGCTTTGGCATGGAAGAGAACTGACATCCATGGCTTACTTCCTGTTAGTTAGATCTGATCTTCATTTCTTCAGTTTCTACTGACTAGCTTCCAGTCTTTCCTTAGGTCTTTGTGGACTTCAGTTTTCCCCTGGGCAATGTCACAATACTGATGGAAAATTGCCTTTTAAGTGTATAGAATGAAGATTAATTTGAGACTGGGAAATGCTAAAAATAACCAGATAACCAGTACTAATTTATTTGGGGCACATTTGGTTACAGTGAAAGTGCTGAGAGGAATCACTATAATGTTATGGGCCACTAAGTACAAATACAAAGCCCTCCATCTCACCATTACGTGAACTCCTTTTAAGAGAGTCATCTCATGGCGAGTAGGGTCTGAAGGGGCTGAGGGTTTCACTGTTAAACTCACCATCACTGCAGCTCTAAGCTGACCTGGGCGTGTTTGCCAATTCATTTATCTTAAGCTCTCTGAACCCAAATCTTAATTTACACCTTTTCAATGTTTCAGCCATGATTTCATTTAGGCAGCCTCAATGTGATTGCTGTTCTGCAAGCCTGACTGCAACCTGCAGCTACTGTCCAGGCATCCTTTCTCCCTTCCATTCATTCTTGCAGCTGTCTGTGCTCTTTCTTTTGGGCAGAGATTACTATGACCATATAACTGAAGTTTTTCTCTCTGTAGGGTATTTTCCCTGAAACGTATATCCATTTGAAAGAGGCAACTGTGGAAGACCGAGGGTAAGTTCCATTTTGGGAAAACTCCTAAAAAATGATGAAGATGTAAAATTATCATTGAGGAATGCCTTATGTACATTATTTCTTTCAACTCATTAATTCTACTTCTCATATGAAAGAAAAATAAAACGTTTTCCTGGCTCAATTCCTTATTCAAGTCGTCTTTTTTTATAATTGTTCCTCCCTGGCATCCTTCCCCAGGACAAAAAGACAGGTGATGAAGGAACAGGGGGTCTTTACCTTCCTCTTGCACTACCTGCTCATCGATGCATGCACATGTGTGTGCACACACTTGAACATTTGACACTCTTTCTGATAAGACCTGAGATCCCGTTTGGGAACTCTGGGAGATAGATGATGAGCACGCTGTCTCCTGCACTGGTCAGCTCTGGATCTTGGACACGTCAGCTAGCCTCAGGCCACCTCGGGCTTGGAGAACAGATCTGGCCCTAAGTGTGTCCTGAGCTTGATGAGAAATTATGAAATAATGTATGAATGTGCTTTACAGTAAACTTCATTGTGTTTTGGATGCTGACTTGTTCCCCTTACCATTTGTCCTGGAAAGTACTGCCTCAGTAGCAGTTAGGAGGAGGGAGACAGTCCACCTGAAGAGGGAGAGAGAGGCCACTTGGTTGGTGAGCCCACGGCAGGGGAGTTCTGGGCGAATAAGGAGTGCTGGAGCCAGGCTGGAACCCCAGAGCTGATATTGAGTAGCGTGGGCCATAGTCTCAAAGCTGCCAAGAACATTTTCAGTCGTAAATTCTGCTTCCTTGTTGTAGAGACGAGAGGTGGAGACATGCCCAAATTCCCACAACTGCTCAGAAGCAAAATCAGGCTGAATAATCTGCCCTCTTGGAGATTCTTCTTTCCTGTGGCCATTCCTGGGCGCACTCCATTGTCACTGGCCACAGCTGCCTGGGTGGAAAGGAAGGGTGGGAGGCGACTCCCTCTGATTGGAGTTGCCACATAAAATGCAGGATGGCCAGTTAAATGTGAGATTCGGGTAACAGTAAATAATATTTTACAGTATGTCCCAGATATTTCATGAGACATACTAAAAAATTATTTGAATCTATCTGAAATTCAGACTTAACTGGGCATCTTGTATTTTTATTTTATTTTATCATTTTATTTATTTTTTAAAGAAAGAGTAAGGAAGAGGGAGAGAGATGGAAACATCAATGAGAGAGAATATTGATTGGCTGCCTCCTGCATGCCCCCCACTGGGGATTTGGCCCACAACCTGGGCATGTACCCAACCGGGAATCAAACCAGCAACCTCTTGGTGCATGGGTCAATGTTCAGCCAGTGAGCCACACCATCCGGGCAGCATCTTGTATTTTTAAGTCTGAACAACCTACCACAAATTCCTGTTCATTTGCTTGCTCTCACTCTCCTTTTCTCCTTTTGATAATCAAAAAATACCAGAGAGGATTTATCTGACTACATGTTATAAGTCTCCTATGAGTAAGTGAGGAGTTTGATATGTATACAGTTTCTGTGCTGTGAGGCAGCAGAAGAGAAATCCTAGTGCCATTCCAGAAAACGGCATTTCCCCGATCCCTGCCAGCAGTCTGTGAGATGACAAGCCCCAGGACCCTGTGCGTGCACACTTCTCCACCCACCCTCCTTGAAGAAGCAGGTGCTTGGTAGACCCAGCTCAAATACTGGATTTTGTTGAAGGAATTGCTGAAGCCAGACTGGCTCAGTGATTGAGGCTCCCATAGAGATGCAAAATGCAGAGGTTGAAGCTGGGCTACGAGTCCATGGAAAATGAGTTTGTGTTCCCAGCTCCTTCTCTTTTCTCAAATGCTATATGATAAAATCTCATACACTAACCTACCCAAAAATGGGCAAGTTTTGCTTTGTTTCAAGCCCAGCCAGCCCCATTTCTATCTTTGAGCTCTGGGGAATCTGACCTCTGTCAAGTAAAGCAGCAACAATCAACTCGGAGTAATGTGGGCATCTATCCGGTTCTCTTTAGGCAGAACGAGACTGTGATTCCTGGTGAGCTCCCACTGGTGCAGGAGCTCACGGCCACGCTGCGAGAATGGGCTGTCATCTGGAAAAAGCTTTACGTGGTGAGTTCGGCCTAGAGCCTGTAGCATTATTCCTGGACTCTCAGCCTGTCTCTTCTGCAGGGGGTCAGCCACTTTTCAGTTTGTGGGGAGTGGGGTGCATCTTACCTGGACCATGCAGTGGCTGATAACAGCAGATTCTTGTTCCCCAGGTAGGGTCATTGGTGATATGGGAGGTGGAGGAAGTGGATATAATCATTTGTTCAATTTTTTCCTGAATTGACAACATGCTGATTGTAAAGTGATAAGAATAATAACAACTGCAAACACTTGCATAGTTTTGATTAAGTGTAGCGTTATTAATCCCGCAATACTTCTATAAAGTAGGTGCAGCTATTACCAGTTTGTCAGTGAGGAAACTGGAACAATCTGTTAACCTCTACATGTACTGAACACCCAGGACAGCTATCCTGAAAGAGGCCAAGAATGTTCAAAGTCTGTTGGCAGTAGGCTTGTACTTGTGTCCACTTTAGGAAGCTCTTTTCATGACATTAAAATAAATAAACACTGTTTTCTAAAGTTCCTTTTTTCCTGGAGACCTTGTAGATAAGCATCACTAGGTCTTCTCTCTGGAAGCACCTTCCAGCCTTCCATGGCTGGCCACAGATTCCTGTGAGCATGCATTCTCTTGTCTCTGCGAATGAGTTCACTGAGGGAACAGACTGGACTCGGTGGCCAGGGAGCTGCTTTCCTTCCTTCATGTGGCTTTATCTAGATTGTTTTCCAGTCATGTATTGATTCTTCATTTTAACTCTCAAAAGCCAATCTTAATAAGTTATTGGGAGCACACACTCTAGACCCTAAGTATGAAAAGACAATAATCAAAAGCTCATAATTCTAAGTTTATGAAAGATACTCATTTCCAGGGCTGTTTCCCAGGATGGATCACAGCAGTAGAAATCACCAACCCCTTTGGTGGAAAAAGCACATGATTTTTCTCTGCCTGCCCATCCTTCAAGGCCAAGTTTAAGCCCTTTCTTCTTCATAATATGTCTTCTAAAGACACTAATCCATAATGTTTCCTTCTGAACTATAGGAGCACTTATGGCTGAACCATCATCTGGTCCTTGGGGCATACTGCCTTGTAATGCAAGTGATCTTTTGATCTCTTTATGTTTAAATCACAAGTAAATTCTTAAATCACAAGCTCCCGAAGAAGAGAAGTGCTGTTTTAAGCCCTTTGGCCAACATCCATCATCTTGTATTTCTACGGAAAGCACTCTCTGGTTCTGGTTAATGGATTGGTTAGTGGTGAATGGAACACGTTTGATGGATGAGGAATTACATATATGAGTTAGCTCCTTAACATAGTCTTTCTGGAAGTCAGTGAGTGGTGAAATGTGTTAGATAATAACTATCAGAGAAGGTTTTTTTAAAGGTGTAATGTACAAGAGTGGGGAGTATGAATGAGGTTGACTTTTCCTCTTGCTAACATGCAGCTCTTGTGCTGAATTTATTATCTCTGCTCTCCACATGTCCACAGGTACTTGTGTCACATCTTCGGAACAGAAATGAGAAATAAGGGAACCAGGGAGGAAGAAGTATGATTCATATATTTGGGCTTCCAAATCCCTTTGCAGTTAATGGTGATGAGCTCAGGTTTTGGATTTCTCATGTGGGTGTTCCACTATTTAATAACAGAATTGGGTTCTAATTTCAAAAATCCATCTCCTCTCAGAGAGCAGCATATTTTTTATCTTAATTTTGATGTCTAATAAAATAACTATTTTGTTTTTTTGTGAATATTTTAAAATGTCTGATAGCTGCTATTGACTGACTAAAATACATTCATTGTAGAAATCTTAATCAGTTGATAGGGCTGAGCAATCTACTTCTGCTTTTGATACATGATCACCAGTAAGAAATAATACACTTCAAATGGATTTGTTGTAAGTTGTGGCTTGCTCTGTTTTTTCCCTGTCCCTTCCTAAACCACTGATGATCCACTTCAGGCAGAATTTCAAAAATTCTTTTTCAGAAATTTGTATGTCAAAGGCGCAAACCTCAAATATACTTCACTAGGAAAAAAAGTAAAAGGAACTAAAATCTATAGTTTTTACCACCACCAACCCCCCGCCACGTGCACTTCTGGTGGTTTTTGTTTTTTGATTCTGTGTATAAGTTTCTTCAGTATATGTAATGATAAATACAGATTTTTCTCATCTGCATCAATACTTACATTATTTCTCTCTCACATTTCCTGCCACAGATGATGAGCCCATGTGTTCTGTTTGGTGTCTTTAATGACACCTGTGGTGCCTTAGAACCTCCACATGTCCTAGTTCTGTTTCCCGTCTAAGTTCACGAGCGATTTATGCTGTAGACCCAGAGTCTTCTGTGAGAGGGACATGCACTCCGCTAGCCAGCCTCAGCCACAGTGTGAACACAGGCAGTAGGCTGGACAGGAGGGGTATCTATGTAGCTGTGATTTCTTTTTAGCAGTTATACTATAATCTTGTGAAATAACCATGAATGTTTTGAAAGGGAAGGGAGTTCCTTATGCTGAAAAGAGGGGAACCCACTCATCCAAAATAGAAAGAAGTTCCATCCACCACTAACCAAGGAATACCAGGTTCCTTCTGTTCCTCTTTGTTATATTTGTATTATTTTTTCCACTTATTTGTCTTTCCTGGTGGATATTGGCCAAGCTGTAGGAGACAGACACTGGACTGGAAATCAGAAAACTTGGTTCCTCCCCCAGTCCCTGCCCTAACTAGCTTTGTGGTCTTGGGCAAGCCACCTGAGGTCTTTAAGTGCCTGTCGGACTTTATCCCTCTGTAAAACTGATATAAAATCTTCCTTGTTTACTCCATAGAATTTGAGGGTATGAAAAGAGGTGGCGGTTGCAAAATCATTGTATAGGCAGATCACAGGCTCTGCAGTGTGAGCTTGCGGCCCTCAACACTGCCTTAGCTGGAAACAGTAGCCGCTCTGGCCGTCCTCCCTCTGGGCAGCCTTGGCTCCGTGTCCCTCAGATCTGACTTGCAGGCTGTGAAGCTCCCTGTGTACACCCCCCTTATCCAAGGCCATTTCCTTTCCACGTGTTATCTTCTTAGGCAGACTGACCTTGAGCACTCAGTAACCAGGCTGAGTGTTTCTCACCACAGATAATGAGCCTTCTTAGTTTAGGTTCAAGTCCAGGAGGCTGGATCATTTCAGAAAAGAGTGCAGAGTGCAAATTCACAGCAGCCTCTGATGAGCACAGCCTGCACTGTTCATCCTCGGTTGAATCCTGTGGACCATGTGTGTTTTTAGTGTAGTGGTTCATCAGGAAAGGAGTAAACTTTGTCAGTGAGGAGGGGGTCACCGGTGAAATGACAAGGTTGTGGACGTTGGGGTCAGACAGGCAGTCTGTTCTTAATTATGGCTTGCTCCCTTGCTTGGTATGTACTTTTATATTCACAAAAGGAACAAACCCTGTAACAGTTACTACAAATGAACAAACTACAATAGAAAGAACACAGGTTCTGAAGGCAAGGGTTTGGTTTAGGGTCTGCCACTGGATGAATCTGTAGCCTGAGACCTCCTAAATTAATTTCCTCACTTCACGTGCTAATTACATATTGTATATGTCTTGCAAATTTGCTGCAAGGATTCAATAGGATAATCTGTGTAAAATTCCAGGACAATGCCTGGCACACTGTCTTTAAAATGTGACAGGCCCTGATTATCCCCTTCACAAAAGCACTGGTGAATGATGACAGGTGTTAGGAGAACTAGAAGGCACTGTGAAGTTTTGCCCTGAAGTCAGTTGAGGGTGGGCCTTCCAGCTTGGGGCTGAGAGGGTGGGCCCCCTTCCAGCCTATGGGGATTTAACTAGTCCAGGTAGATGGCTTCAAGTATGCAATCTAGTTTTCTCTGCTGCCTCGCAGGATTTTTTGGTTTTCCCAGCCTTGGAAAGCAGATCCAGTGAGCTTTCTAGCTTTTTTTTTTAAATCAATTTATTTATTTTTGTTACAGATGTTTCTCCTTTTCCCCCCACTGATTCCCCCCTCCCCCTTCCTCCCTGCCCTGTCCCCAGCTTTGTTGTCAATGTCCATTGTTCATGCACACATGCATATAAGTTCTGTGGTTTATCTCTCCCCCACCACCCCCTCCCCTGGGGATTGTCAGTCTGTACCCCACTTCCACGTCTCTGGGACTACCCCATTCCTCAGGCTGTTATGTTCATTATATTTCACAAATAAGTGAGATCATATAATACTTGTCTTTTTCTGTTTGGCTTGTTTCGCTTAGGATAATACTTGCCAGGTCCCTCCATGTCATCTCAAAGGATAAGAGATCTTTCTTTCTTACAGCTGCATAGTACTCCATTGCGTATATGTACCACAGCTTTTTTATCCATTCGTCTACTGATGAACACTTGAGCTGTTTCCAGATCTTAGCTATTGTAAATAGTGCTGCTACAAACATGGGGGTACATAGATTCTTTCTGATTGGTGTTTCAGGCTTCTTAGGGTATATTCCTAGAAGTGGGATCACTGGGTCAAATGGAAGTTCAATTTTTAATTTTTTGAGGTAACACCATATTGTTTTCTATAGTGGCTGCACCAGTGTGCATTCCCACCAGCAATGTACTAGAGTCCCCTTTTCTCCACACCCTCGCCAACATTTGCTGTTTGATGAATTGTTGATGGTGGCCATTCTGACAGTTTTGAGGTGATACCTCATTGTTGTTTTAAGGTTTCTTTCTAGCTTTGTGTGAGTTCCCCCTGCTAGAAGGGCAGACAGACACCTATGCATCAGTTTAGACATGATTGGATTGATGTAATACCTAAGTTTACTTTTCCAATAACAATCCAGTTATTCTTTCTGAATATGCACATCCTACCTAGTAACATTGTATTTTCTCAACTAAAAATCAAATCGTGAATACTGACAAGTTAGAGGTTACTTTGGGGGACATTGGGACAAGAATTTTTTTTCTTTAGACTTTTTTGTTTTTATTTATTTATTTTAAATATGTTTTTATTGATTTTTTGAGAGAGAGAGAGAAGAAGGAA